ATAAGAAACAGAGTAATCTTTGAATGTTCTAAAATTAAACAACAGACAAAATTTTAAAGTATTTTTAAAAACATACTGATCAAGTTTTTAACTTAGACTTCTTGACAACACCTGAGTATTTCAAATGGCAATTAACTCAAGCATGATGATGAAAGTCAAACCGAAAGATAAAATAAAATAGAATGTGTGCCTGGGGATTCGGTAGGAGAAAAAAAAAGTTATACACACACTAAGCAAATTAGAAAACTCAACATCAGTAACTTTCGATTATCAATGTTGTATATTTTTCATCGACAACAATATCAAAGAATCATTAAGCAAGACTGCAATCTACTTTGAATCCTACATTTAAAATCTCATTCAAAGATAAAGCATGAATGTCTACTATGAATACAGATATAAAATGGAATACATAAAATAATCACTAAAAACAATCAAGAGTACAAGCAACTATAGTCTCAGAAAAAAAAACAAAGTTTGATAAAGTAAGTTGCCTACCATACATCCGAAAAGTTTACTGTATTTCAATATGTGTCGATCGAAAACAAATGACAAATTTATAGTTCTCCGAAAAGACGAATATCATGTAATAAAATACTTAAAAGTCGACTAGCATTTATGGTCTTACTTATTTATAATTCTCTGTGCCATGAATTTTGTAATTTTGGTATTTTTCTAAATCGAATAATAACTATTTGTGAAATATAAACTGTATCTGATAATAATATAAAATATGACATATACGGTTTGAGTATATGTTTGCAATTCAAAGAAAACAGATCGTTACTGCGTCAATCTAACTTTAGGAAGTGATATCACGTACAAGAACTGCCTCCAAAATTTTGTTCCATTTCAAAAGTAATAGTGCACCAAATTATGATGAAGCACTTTTTATCAAAACTGTACAAATAATACAATGACATTATTGAATAAATCAGATTTCTGTCACAGTTCAAACATATCATATTTCAATTTATTATTAGTTAACATCAATCATGTTGTGGATTTTTCTTCTATAAAGAGTGATGATCCTTCAGGACGCTCTTGATCTTTCGCTGCACTTTCTATTGTCAATTTGTACAACTATTTTTACTTCAATTTTTATAATCGTGAATATTTATTTGACAACAAATTCTTCAAAATATATTTGCATATTATTTTTAAAAATAAACTAAGATTTTGAATATTATAAGAGACATTATTTTGATTAACTTCTGGGACAGTAAATTTACATATTTATATTTTATTTTTCGTATAAACATACACTTAACACAATTATGTCATATTTTCTGTCATCATCAGACACTGTTTATATTTTCACAGGTCGTTATTATCCGATGAAGAAAATATCACATTAACAAAAATCACGATATATCATGAATCACAAAGAATTAATTTCGTAAATATTAAAAGAATTTTTAATATTTTATGACATGACATTAGTCTCGTCGGAGAAGTATAAATTTGTCGCTTGTTTCTAATCAACACATATCGTATTGTGTTTGCCGGTTTATCGAAAAGTAAGCATTTTATCAAGGTTTTACATTTTTTCCATCGACTACATATAGGTATCATTGTGTCGATAGCGCACTTGAGACAAATGCCGATAAAGATTATTGTTTAATTCATTATCATTCAAAAAAATCTATGCATCTAATTTATTATTGTTTTTCAATAATCTTGCTGTATCTAGAAGACACTTAATGCACTCGAAAGCGTAAATATTTAATAGAATTATCTCGAAAATTCGAGTAGAGGTAGCATCTTTTCATAATATTTGTAATGAAAACATCGAAAAATTCGAAATTCATTCACGACATCGAAATAGGTAATGTTTATCAGATTCATCTAGGCATACTTGGATTCGTTGTTAAGTGTAACTAGAGGAAAGAGATCGTATTTTAGAAATTTTGTATATGTTGAAGTGGATTAAATACAACCATCGACGTTACAGTTTTTATTTTACTTAAATCGTTCATAAAATCCCTCTTAGTTAATCAATGATCATTTTGTCTGTAAAAATTTATTTTGCATTTATGATATTCATCCTTGTTGAAAGCGTGTATTATTTGAAAAGGAGATATACATATAACATGTCATTCCAAATTCAAACAATAATAATGTATAAACGTATGAATTTTATTTGATAGAAGCTCATCCAAAACTTGCCATTTGTATTTAATTTTCAATAAAAACGATGATCATTTCTGTGTTCACCATCACGATTGGCTTGATCATTGCTGGGTATGTTAATGGAGCACCGTCTCCAAAGGTATGTTTGCTTTATTTATTATTTTTACCAATAGTCAATATGTTTTTACAGCCGAGCGGCGTGCCAAAACAAAAACCAGAGGAAAGAGGTAAATCTTAAGTTTTTGTTGTAATTACTCAAACTCTCAATTTCATATTCCTACTTTCCTACATCGAAAGTTTTCTTTTGTTTCTAAGGTGGATTCTTCGAAGGTGATATTCGTATTTATCAAGGACCAACATCAGTGAGTAGATATTGTTTCTTATTTCTCGGTACTAGATATATCTTATCTTGTTAAATAAAATCAAGCGTGGTGTGGCAGCTCGTGGCAATGGTGTTAAATGGCCCAACGGTATTGTACCATATGAAATTTTACCAGGATATGGTATGCATTGGTTGTCTTTTCATAATAAATTGTTTGCGAAACAATAAAATTGAGGATATTAATTTCGAAATTTCAGCGACGGAACAAGAAAACTTTATTATTGCCACTATGCGAAAAATGGAAAGATATGTAGCTGTCAATGGCAGAAATTGTATTGAATTTCGACCGAAAGTTTCGACTGATCGATACTTTATTACAATCGTGAATGGTCGAGGATGTTCATCTTATGTAGATATCTGAATTCCATATAAAATTTTATATGTATGCCTGATTATGGATTTATTTCAGATTGGAATGTACGAAGGCTACGATTTTGTTCGTACAGTTACACTACAATATCCAGGTTGCATTGATGATGCTCGCATTATGCATGAGCTTCTCCATACATTAGGTAAGTGCTAATATTTAAAATTGATTTTGCTTATAATTTATAGTAATTTCAGTTTTGAAAATTTCTATTTTATTTTTGAAAAATAGTATAAAATTAGTATTTCTTCATAAGATCTGCACATACTGTTTTGTTTGTGATTGGTCTAATTTTACAATAACGCTGTACCTTATGTTTCCACTTAAAAATTGATTATAGAATATATGCTTGATTGAAATAGAAGGAAAAGGATCTGAAAATTCGGTAAATAGGACTTCAGATGTTAGATGCTAAGAATTCTACATGGTAATGCATAGATTAAAAAAACAGACATAGGAAAGTTTCAAGAATTAGCGAAAATTCTACACAATTATAATAGCACACACAAAAATAATATTTTTTTGCTGAAAAACTCGATTGTCTTTGTCATCGATAGGAAAACTTGACACAGTTAATAATTTTATCTAGTCGATTTTTATTAGTAAATGAAGAATATAACACGTTTTCAGTCATTATGAAAGTCTGCACTGAAAAACATTATGGAAAGCATAGCAATCATGTTAATAGATACTAGTGTTGCTTTTTTTCTCATAAATAATATTAATACTTTGAAAAAAAGGTAGTTAATTAGATCGCATAGAACATGGTCAATTCAAGTATTTTTAAAAGTGAAGTACAAACCAAAAATATCATTTAGGCGATTTCGCATTGTTTTGAACGAACAATTTTTGATGTTTCGAAAACAGATCGCACAGAATTTTGCGCTCTTTCGAAAACAATTACAACAAGTTTTGTTGCACAGATTGTAGAGCTTTTCACGCTGCATCTTCTAGTGTATTTTGTTTTCCTTCTGTGAAGCATATCAGAAGAAGAAAGATGAAATAACAAAAAAAACGAGTTTGTCGTTTATCAAAAATTAGCTTTTTTCACTGTAGCAGTTCAATTTCTCCAAACTTTGATCCATTCGTAGATAAAAAGCTGTTAGCGCAATCCCTTGCGGGATTAAAAATGTGAAACACGATGGATCTGCTGCTACTAATTAAATGGAAATCGTTTTGTTCCATTTCTTTGCAATACATTTGTAGCGAACCGTTTATCTGATGGTTTAGAACTACAGTTTCTCTGTCACGGTCCGTGATGGGTCTAAAGCCTATCTGTCACGATGTGTGATGGGTCCAAAGCCTGTCCGTAACACTTTGTGATGGGTCCAGACTCTGTCCGTCACGGTCTGTGAAGGGTCCAAAGCCTGCCTGTCACGGTCTGTGACGGTTAATTAGTTAATTAAATACTAATTAATTAAATGCTAATTAATTAAATAAATAAATACTAATTAATTAATTAATTAAGATGTTTGTCACGGTCTGTGATGGGTCACGTGAGTGTCTGTCACGGTCTGTGTGGGGGGGCGGGGGTGCAAATTTCTACCCCTAAACACTTCAACACTCCTTTCAGATCGTGTTTCACAAAAGTGCAACGATAAAGTAGATGATCTTATGTAAATTATAGAGCTTTTCGTGCTGCATCTAATGGTATATTTTGGTTGTTAATACAAACGTGTTAATGGTTTGAAAACTGCAATGGAAAAGTACCACCAGCACAAACGCTAAGGAAATAAATCTTATCGAAAGTTTATTATCATGATATTAGTTGAAGCATGATCAAATAGCATGGAAAGATAGAGTGAAAGACGCTCTATCTATTGGTAAAAAAAGAAATTTTTTCTTAGCTTACTATAAGGAAATAAGTCTTTGACGACACTGCTTTTGGATTGGCCTAAGTAGTAGATATTTTTCGTCAATATTGAACATTCATCTGAAACAATTGTTTATCAGAAGAATTACAAATACAAATTCTTTTTTTATTGTACTTTTAAAACTATTGAATGAATTAGATGTTTTATTAATCATATTAGATTGTTCATTTTTTGTCCTTAATCTGTTTCAAGGGTTCGAACCTTATTTGTATTTTCTGCTCCGCTTTCAAAGCTAGAATCCATGAAAGTTGGCTTAACGAATATGAAACGTAAAAAAATATTTTTTCTGTAAAGATTTTTTTTTCTAGTACGTAACTCTTCCGTTATCCAACTTTTAAAAACATATTTTATGTTTGTCCATCGATGTTTTCAGGTTTTCATCATGAACAGTCTCGTCCAGACCGTGATGATTACGTCCGAATCAACTATGAAAACATAATACCAGGTATAAGCATGAATGCTCATTAATTGAAATTCTCTTTTGCCACAAAAAATGGCTCCTTTTAGGTCGTGAATTAAACTTTCAAAAATATAATACTACGCAAACAAATACGCTGAATACGTCGTATGACTACGGATCCGTAATGCATTATGCGAGGGACGCATTTTCAAGGAATGGACTCCCAACCATCGACACAATCCAACCGAATGTTGAAATTGGACAACGTCTTAACTTAAGTGTAATCGACATACAAGAAATTCAACTTTTCTACAATTGTAGCAGCAATGTTGGCCCATTACCGCCTCCAGGTGATTAAGCTTTATGTATTGTTGATGTCGATCATACGATCGCGAGATTCAATATGAGAAACTCCGATAGGAAGAATGGATTCTGTACACGAAAACTGAAAACATAAGGAGAATCTTGTGCATTCAACATACTCAGACTTGTCAAGAAAAAAAAACTTCATAGAATTAAGATAAGACGGTGAATATTAATTGACAGGTCACTTTTGTTAGCGTTGCTAAACGATTATGGGATGATTCCAACTACTCGAGTGAATACAGATCGAGTTGCCATCTGACAAATTTTATGTTCCAGAAGCAACCAGATGTTGCTATTGAATAATAAAAGAAAGTATATGGAAGTATAGTATTATACTTCACTATTAACTGTAGAACATTGAATAGAACATACCCAGCATCTTGATACGTGAGTTTTATAAAGAGTAAAATAAAAATCTGTATTCATTTTGAGTATGTAGCTAAATATTCTACTGAGCTGTATCCTGAAAAAATACAATCGTCTTATCACGATAGACTTGTTTATAGACTTACAACGCAAAAAATGATTACTAACAACAAAAAAAGTTTCAGACATAAGTAAAATTATACACTTGCAGATTACTAAGAGCAGTGTTTTAACAATTTTCTTGAATAAAATTCATTCCGGACAATCGTCCAACAATTTCATATCGTATCAATATGTTACTTGTTCCAAAACCGTGTTTTTGTTTTCATTTTGAAATAGAAAACTCAACCTTGGTTAATACAACATATTCATCTGCATGGACATACGCTAGTTCAAGATATTCTCGTCGCAATGGAATACCCGATAATACGACTTATTTCTATGAACTTCTTCAATTCATCGTTCCCTCAGCTGGTTCTTATACTTTCACGAGTATTAGCAATGTTGACGCATATGGATATTTGTATAGTCCGAATTTCTATCCTCAATTTCCGTCAGTGAATTTACTCGTATACAATGACGATTCTGGTGGCTACGGACAATTTCGACTTTCTTATGATCTACAACCTGGTATACCTTATTACTTGATTCCAACAACGTATAGTCCTGGTGTGACCGCAGCATTCACAGTAGTGATTTCTGGTCCCACACAAGTTAGTGTTACGCGCATCAATCCTAATGTAAATGCAGGTGAGTTGCTCAATATTAATCAAATTTCTTCGAGAACTCACAGTAACATTCATGTACTTGAACTGTTTCATCATCTATCAAAAATATGAATGATCGTTTGATCGAAAGCTGTTTCTCTTATTATGAATATTCTGCTTTATTTTTTCATCCTGCTTCTTCAATTTACCTATCGTTGGGTTTTCCAACCTATCGACAGATAAAAGGAAACCATATAACCCTATTTCTTGGAACTTCAACTATCTACATGTCATCACCCAATAAGCATAAAAGTTCTAGCGCTTCATTGCAACAATAAGAATCCACTGCTTATAAGCAGCAGCTCCGCATTTATGTACCTATTGTCAATAAAGAAAAGTAAAATCATAAATTTTCATTAGTCATATTCATAAAAATCATCTCTATATGAGAACTCTACTCAACATTCTAAAACAGGGATGGAGTGGACATTTTTTCAGCTGGCAATCTTGAAAGTGAAAGAAGAGCAAATTCGTGGAACTTTTATCTACGTTCTTAAACATAGAATCATCAAATTCTTAAATGTGCGACATTTTTCTCAACTACATTGGCAATAATGTAATATCTACACATCAAAGTTAATTTGGTATATGATACTTCCTTGACAGATCTGTATCTTTATGAAGTTTTTCAAATAGTTAATTCGTTCGAATTTCTTATAAGCTGGAACTTACGATATAGTTTCCATTTCTATTTTTATGTATGATATTGTTTTCTTAATGCATATTATCTCTCTGCATAGTTAATACAACGTATTCATCTGCATGGACGTCAACCAGTCTGAAATATTCTCGCCCATTTGGAATAAGCAGTGGCAATTCATATTTTTACGAGGTTCTCAAGATAACTCCTACGAAAAGTGCCACATATACTTTTACCAGTGTCAGTAGCATCGATACCTATGGTTTTCTCTACAGTGCAAATTTCTACCCTCAATCTCCATTCGAGAATTTACTAATATACAATGACGACTCTGGTGGTGACAGACAATTTCAATTTTCTTATGATATGCAACTTGGTACACCTTATTACTTAGTTCCAACAACGTACAGTCCGGATGTGACTGCAGCATTCAAAGTAGTAGTATATGGTTCTGCACGGGTTGGTATTGCTCGAATCACGTTTCCTCAACCGATGCCATTTGTGCGCTGCTTTGGATCTGCTGCAGATCCAATGTGTCCAGGTAATTAGTTTTTATTTATTTGTACATAGAATATACAATTGAAAAAGCTTGTCATGTTCTTTTTTTGCGTCGACGTTTCGCCTTTACATATGTTTAGGATCAGGAACTTTACAGTTAGAATTGAAGTTTTCTTAAAATAAACGGTGACAGGTAAATTCTGGATGCTTATAAAAGTATATTATGAAGGTTTTGGTGAAGTATGTAAGTGATTCATTATCATGATGCATCGGCATACAAACATAATGTACCGCAAACTCAACACTTGTTCATCAGAAAAGTAGTGCATCATATTTTAATAATATATCTTTCTTGTTTGAAACTCCTATTAATACATATACGATCTTTTGAGAATGAAACTATGTAAAAAAAAATGAAGATCTTGAATCAAAGAATCCTTTCCACGCACATCCTTACTCTAGCTGCACGCTATTAAGAAAGCCAAAAATTATTTTTTTAAATTTCGGCTCCGAAAGGTTGTATGAATTTATTTTTTTTTCAGAAGCTCGACATTCTCTTGTAAGCTGAATTGAGTTAGCTGAAGAAAGCATTAGAAAGATAAAGAATACGTTTTTTTTCAAAAGTTACATTAACATTGAGTAAGCCTTGAAAAAAGTCATATTTATTTCAGAATTCAGAAAATAGAATTTTGAGAAATTCATTCTCATAAAATGTTTGGATGCATCTCAGTTCAAAAGGAAATACTTTTAGCTGCTCCAATTTACTTCATATTCTGCTAAACATTCCGTTCATGAAAAAAGATTCAAATGCAAAAAGCCTTTGTCTTTCTCTCTGATTTACATAGGATATGCACTACGTTTTCATGATTTAGTCTATAGATTTTATATGAATATTATTCTTTTCTTACAATGAATTATGCTAACATTTATTTTTATATTTTTCTTTCAGTGCAACTAGCTAGAAATGAAATAAGTAAGACAATTTATTTGTTTATAAGATAATACTTTATTTGTGTATTTCAGCTCACGTTTATGATTTCAATCGTGCATTAAATGGTGGAACATTACCTGTGAACAAATTGTTTTTCAATCTCGAAGATCCAATGACAACCAATGGCTATGTTCAAACAATACAAATTCAATATGGACAAGGACAATATCCGAGTCCGACGGCTCGCATTTGGATCTATGGCGTTGTGCCATTAGCTGGTAGCTATATTGTTTGCAGCCAATATGCCATTCCAAGATCGCAAATATCAACAAGTCAAGCAAATCAAACCTATAGAATTCCAAGTAACGCCATTAATGTTTTCAATGGAGCATATGTTGGCATGGGTATTCAAGACTCAAAAGCAGCTGTCGCAACAGCAAATAATGGATTTGCTTTATATGTGAATGGTGCCGATCAGACAACAAATGTTGCTTCACGTGATCCATTGTTTTTTCAACCAGATCGTAACAGAATTGGTGTCAAACTTACTTATACAATAGTTACTTAATATTACTTTGACATGCTATTACAAAAAAGACCAGTATCATTTTATTAAAAATATATTGCGTAAGAATCCAAGCGCTTTTTTTTTAAAGATCTACTGTCTTCTTCTTGTAGCTAGAATAATTGAACCGCAGATGGTTTTTTTTCTCTGCTTTAGTCATTTTTGACGGTGTGAGTGTGGGTGTGGGCAGGCCCCGCGCGAGCGGGGGCTTTAGGGGGGTGTATATCCCCCGAAAATAAGAATTTTTCAGTTTTATCCGGCCACAAGAGCAGATTTTGTCCATATTTTATGATTTTTCTGCAAGATTTTTCTAAAAATACTCTCTTACACCCCCCAATCTGCCAAACACCCACCTAATATTTGATCCTTCGCGCGGGCCCTGGGTGTGGGTGGGGTGTGGGTGGGTGTGGGTGTGGGATGGGTTGGGGTGGGGTGGGTGTGGGCGCGTGTTAAGAAGAAAACCAGCCACACCCGCACCCTCACCTACACCCCACATACCCCCACACACACTCCACACCCCATACCCACACCGCACACCCACACACACCCACACCCACCCACACCCACCCACACCCACACCCACCCACACCCACACCCACACC